ATTACTTGATAACAAATATTTTAAAAACGATATTTTTTTTTTAGAAAATTGTATCAGAAAATCTGCATATTTAAAGAAAAATACACCTGCTTAATTCTATCCTTTTGTGAAAACCAACATTGTAGAAATTATATATGTTTATCATTGAAGGGAAAGTTGGACGTAAATGGTCTCTGAAAGGCTGTTATTGAAAGCATTACATGTATAAAGACAAGACCCCTATAGAATCCGCCATTTGCAAAGTACTTTCACTTTCAAGTCTTAACATTTGGACAAAATAAACAGGGAAAACAATCCAATCCCAACTTGCCCTTCTTTGACAAACATATTTTGTTTCTGCAATGATGGTTTTCACTAAGAGCATGGAATTTTAAAATTAGATGTATTTTTTTGAAAATATATGGATTTTTAAAAAGAATTTTTCTCAATTAATATTATTCCAAGTATTGTTTTATCAAGTGATACTTTCTATCTGTTAATCAATGAAAAATTTATAAACTGTAAAAGTTTTAACTTTATACCTCACATAGATTTGAGGCTATTGTAAAAGTAAATTTTTGGACATGTTCACCTTTGACGAAACCTTAAGTTACTGAACTAACGAATACCCGTAATATCTAAATTTTTGAAAAATGATTTTGTTAAGATGACAAGGCCCTAGTCAGCAGGAGTGGGTATGGCTGTCTAATATCAAACAAAAATTTGATGAAAATTTTAATTAAATCTATCTTCAAAAACAAGGTTCGTCTCTGATATACATGATGATGGTTGTATTTTCTGTATGTACCGAAATGTGAAAAAAATAATATTCAAAAAGGCGACAAAAGATTACAAGGGAAAAAGTGTAGCAAGGCCTAGAAAGTTTTAAAATATCATTGTAAACAGCACGTGGGTTTTGAATAGTTTCTTTTTGTGTGCTGAACAAAGGCCAATGAAGACACCCATATAACTGTCAAGTGAACCAATCAGATAACGTTGAATTTTTCAAAAATTGAAGAATTCTTCACCATGAAGAATCAATTCTTCGCGAGAAATGGAAGCATTTGATTGGCTGAATAAGTAGGTTATGTTCTAAAAAGCGCAAGATGATAATAGTATTTCTCATTTGTTTGACTGCTTTTCATGTTGGTATTTTGTTAGGGTTACTTTGTGAATCTAGCATCATGAAAGATATATCCGACCGTAAAAGTAAAAGAATTTTCTTTTCAGTAGTAACAATTTACTATTTTAAAAGATGAACAATACTTTTTTATCTTGTCTTTTGGCATGATTTCTTTATGCAGCATTTTTATTTTTCGGCGCTACATTTAGACAAAACCACGACGAGTACGGAAAATATGCAAAGTACTTCGAAAAATACTCTTCTTTAAATTGTCAGTTTGAAAAATTCAACTCCATAGTACCAAAGAAAGATGGATTATTTTAATTTGTAAATACCTATGGTGAAATCATACAGATGTAACATCCTATCATTTATTAATGAAGTCCAATTTAAAACATCGACTTTAAAACTTTAAGATGATAAATATAAAGAATATGTACCTTTAACATGAGATATTAAATACATACAAGCAAATTCAAAGAATTGTGGTCCCCCGCTTTCGGTGTCTTTTTGGGTGAGATGTCATTTTTTATGACATTTTGTGACTAATATGAACGCCCTATCATAAGTCATCTATTTAGAAATTACCACTGAACTCCAAGGTCAAGGTCAAAGGGTTAACGTTCTTTGTTATTCAATCAAAAGGATTACATATGTGAAGTATGAAAGCCCTAGCCCTTACCTTTCAAAAGTTATGGTCAAGGTTAAAGATTTCTCATAAGTACAAAAAATCTACAAGGTCAAGGTCAAAAGGTCAAGCTTGTTGGTATCAAATGAAAGGTCTTGCCACAAAGAATACATATGATAAATATGAAAGTCCTGGTATCTATTGTTCAAAATTTGTGGCCGAGGTCAAGTTTTGAAAAGTGGGTCAAACTCCAAGGTCAATGTCAAAAGGTTCAAAGTTCTTGGTATTCAATGAAAGGTCTTCTCACAAGGATTACATATGTGAAGTACGAAAGCCCTAGCTCTTACTGTTCAAAACTTATGGTAAAGGTTAAAGTTTTTACATAAGTACGTAAATCACCAAGGTCAAGGTCAAAAGGTCAAAGTTGTTGGTATCAAATGAAAGGTCTTGCCTCAAAAAATACATATGCGAAATATGAAAGTCTTAGTATCTACCATTCAAAAGATATGGCCAAAGTAAAAGTTTGGAATTTTTGTGTAAAAGTGGGTCAAACTCCAAGTTCAAGGTCAAAAGGTCAAATTTGGTGGTACCCAAAGAAAGGTCTTGTCACAAGGAATACACATATGAAATATGAAAGTCATAGCTCCACTGAATCAAAAGTTATGGGCAAGGTTAAAGTTTTTGTGACGGACGGACAGACTGACAGACTGACGGACAGACGAATGAGATTTAATGTCCCCTCGCTTTCGCGAAAGCAGGGGACAATAAGAGATATGTCTCGTATTAAAGGTCGGTAAGGTTCATTTTATTGCAAAAAGAATGTGACCTTAATTTGTGCGAAAAACCATGTGAGCTTAAAAAGTGCGTTGAACTGTATGACATCAGTTAGCTGCAAAACTGTAGCGTTATGGCTTTATATATTAGTCTTTGGTCATAAACCATAACGCTACAGTTCTGCAGCTAGATATCAGTATGATATTAATGGCATTTATTAAAAGTTGGAGAGTTCATGGCTGACAAAGGTTAAAGATTTAATGTTTCTAAGAAAATTAATTTATACACTTTACAGATTTGTCATTGAGAAAAAACAAAGGTTGTTATACCCCCCGCTTAAAAAGCGGGAGGGTATATATAATTGACATGTCCGTCCCTCAGTCTGTCCGTCCGTCTGTTACGCTTTGGGATACCCTCTCATACCATTGATTGAAATTTGATGAAACTATCACAGAATCTTTATTACATATTGCCATTGTGCACCTTCTATTTTACTTTTTGGTCGGACACATATTTTAGGTATTCCAGAGCAAAACATTGACACTGCCATTTTTTTGAAGGGTACCCATCTCTTATCCGCAACTCCTCCTATACCACGGAATAAAATTTGATGATACTTTCACAGATTCTTTATTACATGATGCCATTGTGTATCTCCTATTTTACTTTTTGATCTGATACTTATTTCGGGTCTCCAAAAGCTATAATCATATAGGAGGCAGGGGGTATCAATAAGTGAGCTCATTGCTCACAGTACCTCACGTTTATTTTGTGAGAGAAAGAACTGATCTAGTAATATCACCATAAGCCTGATATAAGTTTTTCCTATCACAGTATGAATAGCGTGTGATGTTTTTCCTCCATAAAAATGATATCTAATGTCTTATAGGGTATTATTCTGTAATACACAGCTCCAAATTATTTTACATCTGGACAATTTCCTCACTTTTAAGCCTGTTTTATTCATAACACCATTCATGTCAACGAATGGAAAGGCTTATTATTATTAATGCTTCTAACTTGTCTTTCAAGTATATACATTGAAAGTATAATAGGAGAGAATAAAAAGTATCAATAATAACACTTCGTATATTTGTCAAGGAAGAAAAACAAATCAGAAAAAAAATCTGATGAGGAATTTTTAAAGAAGTTGCTTCCATAACTGCTTAAAATTCTAGATGGTGCGTTTCTTTAATGTCGAAAATTTCACGCAAAGACAGACCCCAAAACCATAAGAGCTGGGATCGCGTGCGAAGGAAGTGTAAGCATCCAGACTTGGCAGTGGTTATAACCTTTGATCAAGTGAAGGAGTTGATCCTTACGTCGCGGACTTGAATCCCTCTGAAAAGCACTACACAGCGTGAGGGACCAGTCGTGATTGAAATAAGTCGCTATTAATAAATATGTAGTTCTTTTGCCAATCCCTAGGCACTTAGAATGGAAGTTTCTGGTCTTTCGGATCTGAACCCGCGTTACGACAGGTGTTTGTTCAATGATTCTAAGTGTCGAATAAAAGCCTTTCCTCGGTATAGTTGACGTCTGTACATGAGTGGAAAGTTCTCGAACAGGCGTAAAAAAATCATTTAGCAGTTCTTTCTCTTGAAGGCCAGTAACAAATCTTTTCCCAGTAAGGAGTAGAAAAAAACAGTAGTTTCAATTTTGTTCTTTTCATGACCGGTCGGCAGGGGATGCTCACTCCTCCATGGCACCTGATCCCACTTTTGATGTTTTGGAGGTCCGTGTTTGCTCTGCTCCTATTTTGTATTGTTCTATCGACTTTGATATTGAATACTGTTCGTTACCTCCATATCCTTCATGATCACATGGGTAGCAGTAGATTTGGAGGGGTGAAATGCAGCGCCAATGTGAGCCACGTGAGCTCTATCATTTTGGCATCAGAATAAATTGAACTTGTAAGTACAAAGATTCATTGAATGTCCAAAAAAGGTGGACCTATTCGTGGTCGATTAACAGCAAAAGACATTAAAATCGATTTGTGTCGTTTTGAAGTGATACCTTTGACTTGCATCGAAAGAGTAAATCAAGATTAATTTGTACTCAAATCTACCAATTACAATGTAAAAGTAGGCAATATAAACGAAATTACAATGTAAACGTAAGCAATATAAACGAAAAGAACAAGGAAAAACTTGATCGATTGATTGATAGTTATAGTTCAATTCCGAGTCGGCAAATTGTCGCCCATATTTAGGCGGTAAAAATATTACATTCTGTGGCCAGTTTTAAATATTGAACGCTTTTATTAAAATACATGATATTACAATATAAATATAAAACTTTGGAAGTAAGTACTGAATATATCAAATTATCCAAATCTAACAAAATTTTAAACACTGAGTTCAAGAAGTAATTTTTCTGGATTGAAAGCTAAGGTTTAATGAAAAAAAATCTGAGATTAGAATAAATAATTGTAACTAAATGTTCATTGGGAATACAATATGATGAACATATTCCAGTTTTCAGTCTTGCTCAACCTTAGTCCTCCTTCTCACTGAACCATTCCATTAGTATACCCCTGAATATCACTGCGGCTAGTCCGACCATCAGATAACCTAAGGCATTATCTGCCTGTAGAGGAAGTTTAGTATATAATTAAACTGATATATATGTATAAATAATTTAATTTTGTTTGTATTCTCGCCTCTCATTGGTTGATTTCCAAAAAGGAATGCAAAACATTTTGTATAATCTGGTTTGGTATGGGGACACACCCCCTTGACAACCAGCTTAATCATCTTATCCATGCAATCCCCTCATTTCCAGTCCTCGGAATCCATAGAAAATTCAAGATTTAATAACTTTATCTTTAATTTCAAACACATACTCGATCTTACCTCATGTAAACATGGCTGCTAGATCTATGTATCAGTTATTACCTCCCCTCGCTTCACATCACTTCCGTTACTACGGTTGTATGATTGCGCGGTAAATTTGAACTCGTAAAAAGCAACACAATTTTACATCCAAAGTTGTTTAATTATTTTAAAATTTAAATTATAAGGAATGACTCTAATTCTTGGCCATATTATCGAGTATAATCTGGTTTGGGTCAGTCTACGCTTTTTATAATATATGGCCAAGAATTAGAGTCATTCCTTAAATAGAAAGCACAAAGAAATTCACTTTTATAAGGAAACCCAATTCCACCCCAGCCCGGGGTTTAACTCTCAACCTACGGAATCTGTCTTCTAGCAGTACAGGAACAGTGCGTTAGACCGCTCGACTTTCTAGGCAAGTTGCTTTCGATGCCGATGGCGTTCTCACAGCGCCACCCTATACTACACAGTCATTAATACATGTAGAAATGAGATACAGTGGAAAAATTTGTTCAACCGGTGGGTCTGAGGCAAAGCCCTGGCTGTGACCCAAGGGCAAAATCCCGGAAGTTCCTGGGTTTTTGTGTATTTAAGTAGTTAACCAGGCACAATAATCATGATAATAGTGGTATTGGTTAGTTAGGTAACAAAGCATGGAGTTAAAAATATTAGTCATATCATACTCTAAATGGAGGGGCCAGGACCGAAGCCCCAAAAGCTCCAAGGTTTTCGTGTATTTTGATAGTAAAATCAGCCACAAAAATAGTGGTATAGGTGAATTATGTACCAAAATATGGCGTTATTATTACTAGTCATGGCATACTTCGAAAATTTTAGGGAGGGGCGTGCGCCCCCCACCCCTTAAATCCGCCAGTGAAATATAGCCCTTTCTTTCGATCAATCCATAGATTTCTCGACTTCACAGAAAAGCCTATCGACCACGCATTTCGTACTCCGTACCTACAGACGGCTGTTATTAAGGATATATACCTGCTCGGACCACTCTACTCCGTATCTACAGAAAGCTGCAAAATGTTCACAGTTTTTCCAGAGGAGATTGTATCCGGTTTCTCCAATTCTTCTTATGGCTTCTTCAACTATTCTACTTGCTGGGCGTGGCCTATAGTTTCATTTTACAAATTATTCAGTTTTTGGTTGTATTACAGGGTAAATTTTTTCTTGTGAATGTGAAATTCATGTATATGAGAATAATCACATGTTTATTAAATCGTGCAAATGACTCTTTTTTAGAAACAAAATTACGAAATATTTATTAACATGAACTATCACTTTTACTGTACAGTGCAAAAAGAACAAGAATACAATTCGTTGCGCTATTTTTTGAAACCAAGTTCTTAAAAGCCTTATAAACTTTACTGGAAAGATGATTATGACTTATTTTGCTGGGAACCTGTATTTCCTGTCCTTGTCGTTGTTTATTTTGGCCTTGGAATCCTTAACCACTTTCCAGAAGTCTTCCCTTTTGATCATAGCCTTATTGTAAGTCTTTCCGCTGATGGAGAAGAAATGGGAAGGGTTTGAGTTTCCATCGATTCCATCATCATCATCGATACCAGCTAAATGTACAACCTCTTCGTCCCCTGTTGATTTTTGTGAAAGAAGAATATACTGTTATCTACATTAACTTTTATTTAGCTCTTCTAGCGAGTCAAATTTTTTAATGAACTTTATATATACAAGGGCCCTGATCTGGAATAATAAATATATATTCTATTCTATTCTCGTATATTGTCTTTCATTGTCAGAGACAATTTTCATTTTTATGTTTCATGTGTTTTCCAACCTAAGCATAATGTGAAAGAAACTAACAAAAAAAGAAACAATACTTCATACAGAAGAAAAAATACGTAGGACCTATAATCGATTTCAATAGAATGATTTTCTACTACTAGTATTGATAATGAAAATTCATTTTCATAGTATTTTATATGATTTTTTTTTTAATTTGCAAAGCATGCTAAGACAACGATACCTATCAGAATTTTTTAATTAAAAATAATATGTAATTGAAATGAAAAAGAAATCCATGAACATTACCCACATAGACAGCCCAGTGTGAGTACACTCTCCCTCGGGGGAATTCCAGTAAATCCCCCGCTCGTGCTTTATTTAGATTGATTGATTGATTGTTGTTTTTTTACGCCGAGTCGGGCATGCTTTATTTAGAACATTCCAGTTATGTAAGCAGTTCATGACTATGTACCCAAATTACCGATTCTAAAAAAGAACAAATATAAGTAGTATAAGGGGCCTAGATAGGCGGGTCAATATCTAGGACATGGGCCCTGGGGGGATAGGTGGGTCAACTGAGTGCAGCCCCTGGGGGGATAGGTGGGTCAAGGGAGTGCAGCCACTGGGGGGGATAGCCGGGTCAAGGGAGTGCAGCCCCTGTGGGGGATAGGTGGGTCAAGAGAGTGCAGCCCCTGGGGGGGATAGCCGGGTCAATTCAGTACGTATAGCCCCCGAAATATAGGGTGTGTTTACACTATGTTTACATGATACACTACGCTGCTACTACGATTCACAACGCTGCTACTACGATTTTGGCAGCGATTAAAGTTTGTTTAGGGCCGTGTGCAAAAAATATGCTTACCTATGCATTGTGACGTCATACACTTGTAAAATTAAAGTTTCATTTTCACTTTTGTTTCTAAGAAGTGAACTTACATTTTCAGAAAATGTAGGACTATCTTTTGTTTTTTCTCTCTTTTACTATGATGATTTTCCTGCTGTGAAGCTTTTCTTGTTTAAAGCTCAATTTCTCTATGACCACTGAAGTAAACATCCTGATCAGTGATGCATTCTTGCCATGTGAATGTTGAGACTGTGTTCATTTTTGAAATCTCCTTTCTGACAGACATATTCCACAGGTAAGTTTGTCTTATTTTTGTTTACATTTCCTATGAAGTTTATCTTTGCATTTAATCATAATTATCATATGTAAAGTTCTGTTTTGAATTTAAATACTGTATTTATCCTCATTTCATGTGATTTACAGTTGTATAACCTGCATGTAACTCAGAGTGCATTTAATATTTCTATGATGGGTCATTCTATAATTGAATTTAAATCAGAAAAATGTTCACTAAATTTTG